AAAAAACAGAAACCGAACGCTCGTCCTACGCGAGAGAGTAAACGAATTACGTATGCGGTATTTTTAAAAAATATATTTATCATTTTTCTTTTTTTTTCTTTTTTTTAAATTTTTTAGATTGACGCAGTAGTAACTCTGACATTATTAAATTGTAAATTTAAAATCTCAATCATTAAATTGGGTTATTCGACGATTTTCAGAGTGCAAAAGAGAAAATAATAATAATCACGTTTGTTCGGGGAGAGTAGATCCGCTAAATTAATTTGTGAAATAGATTTTTATTTCTCTTACGCGCGCGTTTATATCATTTTGAATAAATAATATATTTTATATCTGTCGAGATAATATAAAGATAAGGAAAAAATCAAAGAAAATACAATTTCACGATAAGTAAAACAAAATGAACATTTTTTACTCGACATTTAATCTCCTGATTTCCCATTAGCATTCATATATATATAATGTACACAAACAGACATGATATTTAAACGTTGTCATTTGTGTTAGTGAAATTGATAGGTTATCGGTGTGTTTAGGGTTCGTGTGAATCGCCATAGCAACGTCTGAATACATTTCCACTTTGATTCGACGAAGTGTGCGAGAGAGAGAGAGAGTGAGAGAGTAAAAGGGGAAGGGTGGAACTATTGAGAGGGTGCTGAGTGCATCTAGGAGTGGTGGCGGTGGTAAGGGGGAACAGGAGGTGGAGGAAAAAGGGGGGTGTGGGTTAGAGTCACATACCAACGTTAACATCGGTGGGAGTACATACATCGGTTTATTTCTATCAACACGTGGCACACAGTGCTCGTGCTTTATCGTTATATCGACGAACTGCATTTCCCCCACTCATCAGGACTCTCCCCTCTCACCTCTCACCCACACACACACATACAGGTCGAACGTGTCGAGAGAAAGTTAAAAAAGTTTAAATGACGCTCCTTGGGAAGAAGAGAGCTGCTGCTGCTGCTGCTGCTCGTCTGTTCTTTCTCCTCCTTTTATTTTTCTTCTTCTTCTTTTTCTTCTTTTTCTTCTTCTCCTTCTTCTTCTTCTTCTTCTCTTCTTATTCTTTTTCCTCTCTTATTTTTCTCGTTTTAAATATGAAAAGTAAGTAAATGTAATTTGACGTAATTGCTTTGGTTATTCAAGAAAATTCTAGAAAACAAAACGAAATGAATAAAAAAAAAAAAAGAAAAAATAGAAAAGAAAAAAGTTAAAAATTAATTTTATGATCATGGGGTCTTCGTAAACTTTAAGTCTTTTCTTCTTCTTCTTCTTCTTCTTCTTCTTCTTTCTTTCCCTCCCTTTTCTCGTTCACAAAAGTTTGTTCGAAGTCCGATATTTAAATTAAAAAAAAAAGAAATAAAATAAGTAAAGGATAGAAGAGGAAAAATTATAAGATAAAAATATAAATGAAAATATCGTCGTTGTCGTCGTCGTTGTCATCCTCTTGAAAGTTTTTTTTCTTACATTTTTTTGGTTAACAACCATGGATAATATTTACGATTCGATGTTATTCAAAGCAGATCTTTGGAAAGTTTCGATCGCAACTCCATATGGGGTCGCGTAACTAAATTTGAGGGTCGCAGAAATTTAAGCAAATGTACAAAATTCCTTGCGGTGGTACGAGCGAAAATTCATTCAAAACCAGTTTGACAACACTACGAGTATAATATGTCTGTGAGTTTATGAGATAGTAAGAGAGAGAAGATATTATAATGTTAGAGTCTATATACAGAATGGCGAAAATTGTTGACCTTGAGTAAAGGGGAAAAATTGAAGAAGTTCCATTATATTTTAAGTAAGAAATATATTGATTTGATTAAATTCATATTTAATTTCGATTACTACTTTGAAATTTTATTTCTACGCAATCTCGGAGGAAGAACAAAATAAATCGTTAACATTAATTAGAAATATTGAAAAATTGAAAAAGCTGATATATTTCGAAATGAAGAAAAAAATGAATCGACATTATTTTCAAATGAAAATTCTTTTCTATTATCATTTTCCATATCCCTATATTACCGAGTACTATAAAAATAAATCAATATGGCGCGTGTGTGTAAAATTATTAATAAGAAAAAAAAAAAAAAAATAAAGGAACTATTGGAAGAGAGATATTTAACACTGTGTACTACTCCCCTCGTACCATCTTCTTTCATTTAGGCGATAAATAAATCGGCGAAGGAGTGGTCGGTCGGTCGTATGGGATAATAAAATAAAGAGAAAGAAAGTTAGTAGTTTGGATGAAGAAGTGGTAGTAGTGATTGGTAGCGGTCGAGATGATGGTGATGGTGGTGGTGTGGTGGTGGTTATGGTGGTATGGTGGCAAAGTGTTAGAGGAGGGAAGGATTTATAGACGGTAATAATTGACGGTAACATCGCGAACGAGAGTGTAACACACAAGACACGCTAGAGGATGAGTGAGGGAGTGAGTGAGTAGTACCAGAGATGATGGTGTGTGGTATATGTGTATGTATACACAAAACAAATATATACAAATATATGTTGTATACGTATGTATGTATGTGTGCGTATATGCAAACACAAACATATACAAATATATATGTATGTATGTATGGATGTATGGATGTGTGTGTGTATGCGCTTGCGTTGAAGAGGGGTGGAGATCTACGGAAAATGACGGTACTGGTGCGTCGAGTGCATTCGCGTTCTCGCGTGAACCGTACGATATACATATGCATGCAACACCGAGGAGTGGCTTGACTTCTCTATTAAAGAAGGCCTCCTGGCTCATCGGTTTCGTCATACATACAAAAGATCAACGACCTTTCTCTCTCTCTCTCTTTCTTTCTTTCTTTCTTTCTTTTTTTCTTTCTTTTCAACTCTGATACGACGCTTTGCCTTCTCTCTCTCTCTCTCTCTCTTTCTCTCTTTCGTTCTATCCTTCTGTCCTTTCATTATTTTTCTTTATGTCTCTCTTCTTCTTCATCTTCATCTTCATCTTCAAGATTAGTTGCTTTGACTGACACGTTACCTAAAAAAGAAAAATATTTAACGGTCGAAGAAAAAACATTAGAATAAAAATAGAAGAGAAGAAAAGTTTAAGCGCGAGAGAGTAAAGGGGGAAAAATAAAATAGAAAAAAAGAAATTATGGGAAGTCTTGTTATTATTTTATTTACTTGTTTGTATATGTTTTTATTTCATCATCATTATCCTTTTATTCCTTCGAAAGTGTATTTTCGTTTTCTCCGAATATATATTATTCCCTCCATTTTCCATGTTCTTTTAAAAAGTTTCTATGTTTTTAGATTCACTGGAGCATGCGGGGGAAAAAGAGAGAAAGGAGGAGGAGAATGAGGAGGAGTAGAGGAGAGGAGGGAGAGAGAGAGAAAAAAATAAAAGGAAAAAAAAGGGAGATAAGTTGAATAAAAAGAGAGGGAAATATACGAGTTGCGTGGAAGAGTAGGAGTAAGAGTAGGAGGATTAGGGGAGTTGGGAAAGGATAGAAGAGTGGGAGCAGGTAGAATAGCGAACAGAAAGAATACAGTAGGAGAGGGGAGCGCTTATCGGTGATGTAGTAGTTATGTAGGTGTCTATGTGTTAGAGGGACAAAGCTTGGATGAGCACGAAGCTAAAAGATGAAAGTATAACCCGGGCATCAGTGGCTCCCAAATTGCTAGCGTTCTATTATATGCCACGTATGGACAAACTACTCGTTTTCCTCCTCCTTTTTATCTCTTCTTCTATGAAAAAACATTTTTATCCTTATAAAAAACATGTCATTAATTTTTTATGAAATAACTTCATTCACCGACGAATATATATATATATATTATTTCATTTTATTCGCAAACAGTATCGATTGATTTTATATTTTTCTTTATTTTCATTTTATTTTATTTTATTTTATTTTATTTTATTATGTAAACATGTTACAGCCATTATGGAAATAAATTCATTCCGACGAATATATATTATTTTATTCACTGCCGGCATCGATTTATTTCGCTTTTTCTTTGTTTTATTTCATTTTATTAATTAATCGTGTCGGCGGCCATTTTGAAAATTAATTCATCCCAACGGGGATATTATTATTTTATTCGCAAATAGAAATATCGATTCATTCCCTTTTTAATTTTATTTTAATTTTATTTTATTGTAATTATTGGCCTCCCTTTTCGTAAAATTATTTTCAGAGAATTATAATTTGTCTTCTTTTTCATTCTGATCATTTAATTTATTTCGAGATATGAGATAGTTAAGAAAACGGAAGTAGAGGTTCTTTATTTATCCGTTCGTGTTAGGAATGGCTCGAAATTTAATGTATCTAACGAACATAAAGATAAACTTTCTAATTACGACGTTGTGATGAGGCATCCGTTATGTTAAGTAAATTATTTTCCAAGCGAAATAGATAACGATCCGTTAGAGAGTTATAATAATATAAAGTTACATTTATAATCATGTATCTAACTATAAACACTGATCATTATCGGCGCTACTAATATAATCTCGTGTTATTTCTTGGAGTTTGGTAGAAATATTATATGTCGGTAACTTGTTTCTGGACTTCAGTTAGAAACTACATTAATTACCGACTAAAATGTAGGTAAAGAAGGGATGTTTAATATCAACATTGATTTTATCTTTTAATGTTTTATCCTGCTTATCTTCAACAAAGAATACAGAAGTACATAGAAGCTCACAAGTCCACTTTTCGCATAAATAAAATCATCTTAGTTAATACCGGGACCACCAGTGGGCGAGAGTAGGTACTTAACGCGATGACAGTACAATACTATTAAAAATTTCTTTCGCTGATGGTCCCGGTACTAATTAATTGTAAGATGATTTTATTTATGCGAAAAGTGAACTTGTAAGCTTCTATGTACTTCTGTATTCTTTGTTTTCATTGATAAAATGTTGTATTAAAAAATGTGTGATTTACTATTCGATTAAATCAAATATTAATATTCTAATGTACATTTAATCATAGTAAAAATTATAATTAACAAATGTATTTATTCTCTTTTTATAGGACGAAGTACTGACGATTTCGGAAAAAGTAGTCGTTCGTGTTCACGATTTGGTTACTTGGTTATCACCTTCATTGGAATGGTCTTGGGGTCGAGAAATTTTCAAACCAAGTTCACCAATTCCAACATCTTCTCCGGAAAGCAGTCCACCAAGATACGAAATTCCTCAACCTCAAGTATTGACTGATCCAGGGATCGATTTTTCTGACGTTGATAAACAACAAAAAGAATACGAGAGCAATATTAATTCTTCGAAAAAATCCGATTGCGAAAGTCAAACCAAAGTGGTTGTTCTTTCGTATCCGAGGTATTGTAGATATCGAGCACTTTTAAGAAGATTGGAAGGAGCGGAACCTTCGTGGCTTTGTTCTTCGATAGCTGCTGCGCTTGGTGGTTTCACAGCTACACCTGGAACACGTATATTGTTCTGCAGAGACACTTTCGATTATCCCGACTTGGAAACTCATGAACTACTTTGCAACCATCTAGGTAAAGTCTTATTTTTAATTATTTATGAATATATGAATTTATCCATTTTTTCGATAAAACATTTATTAACACGTACCGTCCCAGATTGATTTTAAATAAAATTCATAAATCGTATAAGTGCGATCTGAAATGATTGTATAACTTTTCCATTGCCAGAGGTCGTAATAAATGAAATGTAAATTATTATTGAAAATAAGATTGAATTCGATGCATATACAAACAGTATATTTACCATTATTTATTCTTTTCTATATATCCTTTTTTCTATTATCGTGGGGCAATGCAAATATTTGCATATACATTGTATGCACTACAGGAAATTACAAAATATTACATTAATGCAAAAAAAAAAAAATAAAATATTTGTTTTTTTAATGAAAATGATTCAACAAAGTAACATATCACACAATAATGTCATTCGAAATGAATAACATTACATAAAATACTATTGGCTCGTGTTTCAAAGAATAGCAATAAAAATTCATTTTTACCAATTTTACCAATGGAATGTAACAATTGCTTATTACGAACAATAGTTTGGTAAACCTTAAGGCGGTTAACTGATGATGCTAATCAGGAGCATTTGTTTTCTCGATAAAAATAACTATTTTAGGTATTATCTTTCTTCTGTTTCCCACTTAAACTTGCATTGAAATGAATTGACTAAACTAGTCTCTAACGGAAAGGCAACAAATAAAGTTGGTTCGAAATAAATGTGTCGTTTGGGAATAATTGGAGAGGAAACTTTTCAATCGAATTTCATTAATCTAGAAGAAACGAAAAAAATAAAAGAACGGTTAGATCACGTGATTGGACAACAAAAAGTTACGATTATAAACTATTGTTTAATGTCGAGTTCGTAATCATAAGATTTCGTTGTTTTGTTTGATTCTATGACGAAAAAAAATTTCCATATATCATTCACACGTTCAAGAATTCTAACCTTATTTATTTGAAGCAGTGACGGTGTCGAGTTTATAAATTAATCATTATTGCGAATTACGAATGATTAGTTGGAAGTATTAAAAGAGTTCGTAGAAAATTAGCCCATCCGAGCTATTAGAAAATTTCATTCACGGGATCGTTTGTTTTTTTTTGACGAACATTATGCCAATCGTCATGAAGATTTGCAAGAATCGAATCATTTATTTGAGGATATCGGATGAAACAGTTTCACCTTTGGTTTTGCGTAAATGTGAGTGAGAGTTTGTTTTATCGAGAATTTGTATTCATTTCTATTGGAGGAAAAATGTCTAACGCGTTAATTGAATTTGTTTTCTTGAACAAATCCCGTAAAGTTCGGTACAAATCTTACTTTTTTTTGTTTTTAAACATTTACATGTTTAGTAATACCGTGTTACTAGTTTCTATAAGTTAAAGGACTTACAATTAGCAATGAAGTGAGATTGGAAAAGTTAAGTACAATTTAAAAGTTACTTTGTTCGTTGCGCGCGGGCCGTTAAATTGTAATGCAAAAAATTTTACAGCTGTTGCGGTTTCTTTGCAATTTGTATAATTCTAAAAAAAAATCAAGATATTAGTGTTTAAATATTTTAGAAAACAAAAAAAAACTTGGTGGGAATAAAAATAATGAATAAAAACGAAAATAAATAAAATTTTATGTTAGCTTTTATCAAATAAAAAATAATAAATTTAATATTTAATGTTAAATTAATTAATTTTAATGTTAAATTGTTTGTTTCGACGTCTTCATTGAAATGAATTTTCAGCGCCTAAGTTGAAAGGACGACCACGAAGGAAACGTAAAAAGCGAAGTGCATCACCAGGTGAATCCAGCAACGAGAGTGAAGCTTCGGTTGCATCTTCGTCAAAATGTGCGTCAACGAATTCGAGCCAACAATTGGTACCAGCTCCTGTTGGAAGGCCACCATCATCAGCTGTACGTCGAAGCGAACGGAAAACCAGCGCCGAAGAAAAGAAATTCATGGTCGATGTACAAACTTTTATGAGTTCTCGGGGTACACCAGTTGGAAAGATGCCATTATTGGGATACAGACAAAGTTTGTATACTTTTATCATTTTTATTTTATTATTATAATTCTTTACACTATTATCGTATTTATTATAAAACGGTTTCATTTGAAAATTTGTCAGGATTAATTAAAATATTCTTTTTAATTTTAAGTTAATAATTTTTTAACTTTAGAGATAGAGAGATCATCTGTGAAATTTTTCGGCTTTTATTATAATCCTTTTTAAATTAGGTCACGTTCTTCTTTATTGGTTGACGTGTATCATCGTATTTTTCTGACGCACGCATGTTTGTTCGTATCTTTGTTTTCTGTATTATTTTATTTTTTGTCATCCTCTCAATCTAATAATTTCGCTAATTCGAACAGTTAATATTTTCTTGTTTCAAACAACATTTCACAGTACTTATATATTTTTAAAATCATTTTTCAATCAAAATTACTTTTTTTTATGAATTAATTGTAATTAAAGTGTCATCTCGCGGAAGTGATTAAATAATTATATTAAAATAAAATATATCAGTCTCTAATCTGATAGTGCAAAGGATTGAAAATGATGATTAAGAAAATCGTTGAAAATAAATTGTCGTAATAAATGAAATAAATAAATATTTGAAAATTTTCTTTTCACAGTCGATCTGTTCCTATTTTACACGAAAGTACAGACACTCGGTGGATACGATTCCGTTAGTGCCGGAAGACTTTGGAAAACCATTTACGATGATATTGGTGGTAATACAGGATCCACCAGCGCAGCAACCATAACTCGTAGACATTATGAAAGGTAGGATGATAATAGTAGTCTCTGAGTAACAAACTAAGTAATTATCTAAAATAATAAATTTCAATATTTGTTTTAGGTTGCTGTTGCCTTATGAAAGGTATCAGAGAGGTGAAGAACCCAAAGTGAGATTAACACATGGAAGACGTACAAAAACGAGTAGTATATCTGAAAGTCCGGTGGATGAAGGTCAAGAAACAAGTGACTCTCGTTCTTCGGAGACACCACCGTTGATTGAAACACCTCCTGTAAACACTTCTCCACCTTTGCAACCAGTTTTATCGACAACGGTAATGGCATTTACTTTGCATAAATTTAACATAAATGATTTAATAATTGATTTTTTGATTACTAATGGAAAATTTGATATTCCAGTCATTTCCATCAAACGAGAAACCAAAATCCGAGAACGTCGGGAAAACATCCTCTTTGCGGAGCGTGAGAGTGAAACCAGAACGTCTCAAATCATTGAATACGATAATAGCTAACAACACACCACCTACTAGCCAGCAAAGTAACCAACTGCCAAGTCCTCCACCGTCATCGAACACACCAATCTCAACTCCTAGTAGTACACCTTCGACGACGCCCACGATCGTCACCGGTAATCAAAGTGTTCTTGAACGTCAGTTAAATAGTCCACTCGTGTCACAGCAAGTTCCACCGTCCTGTTCGTCTCCAGGATTACCAGTGAGCACAGTAGCTATGAATGCATCTACGGTAGTTACGTTGACACCACCACCGGAAAAAGACATGAAAGAGATTAAATTAGATCCTAAACAAACGACTCTGTTGGCACAGGGTAAAGAAAACATACCTTTGTTCGGTGAAAAACCAATCTTTGCAGAGAAGGCGATAGTCGTCCCGCCAAGATCACCGGAAGTGATTGATCTCGAAACGGAAAGTGATACGAGTAGGGATAAAATAATAATACCAAGTTTTAAGAAGCGAAAGTTGGAAATTTTGCGAGAAGGTGGTCTCGAAGTTACCGCTGTTGATCTTGATTCGCGACCTAGTGTGATCCATAGCAGTTTGACACCGACCCCACCATCGGTCAAACCCGAGGAGAAGTTGTCTTCTTCGCCGTATCCACTTTCTGTTACACCCAGTTCTGTGCCGAAGCTTATCTCTGTCACTGTCACACCTGATATAGGACATATGTTGCCATCACCTCAGGAAAATAATCAGACCAATCATCAACAGCAGCAGCAGCAGCAGCAGCAACATCAACAGCAGCAGCAACATCAACAGCAGCAGCAGCAGCAGCCTCGGTTTCAATCCCAAGGAAAACAACATCCCGTCCATTATAACAATAATAGTACGACGAACAACATCAATAATAATACGACGAATAGTAAAGTTATTAATCTTGGTAGTTCGAACAATGCTGGATTATTGCAATTATACGCGAATGCCAACATGGTACCAGCGTCGGCTACGCAAATGGTTAATTCTAATCATCGTTTTGTACCACCGAACGTTCCTAACGGGAAAATAATATTACCGCCGAAGGTTACGCAGTCGAGGTCAATTTTCGCGCACAACGAAAAAACAGTATACGGAAATCCAAAAGACATTCTTATATCTCCAAAGTATCGTCCCTTACAGCAGCGGATACAGCCACAGACGATTTGTAACAACAGTGACTACAGTGGAAACGGCGGAGTTCTCGATCTAACTCAAAAGCCAACTGAAAAAGCTACTTTTTCGAGGCCGAGTCTCGAAATAGTGAGGGTACCTGTAGTGCCGAGGCCTAATCCGCTCAATTTAGAAATGAGGAAATCCCCGACGATTAAAGATAAACCAATGGAATGTACGATAAAACGAGGCTCGTTTCCAAGTTATCAAACAGTTCTCGATAGTCGGACTATGGCATCGAATAATTTAGAAATCACATTAGTCAATCCTAAACAAAAAACTAATTACAACGGTGTACCGTCTCACGTGCAAATACCGAGCCCACCTAACAGAACTAGTAATCATTATCATTCGGTAGCACAAAGGAGACAAATGAATGGGAAATATGGTGGAAGGAACGAACCGGTTTCACCTTATACACCAAGAAAACAACCCACGCATCCCGTTATACCTAATGTACCTAATTTAAATCATCTGAATAGTGTGAACCCTTCTTATCCTAGAATGACTAACGTTCAACAACAAATTTGTATAGATAGAAGGAAAACAAGCGAGGCTGGCAAAGATCAGCAGCAACGTAGAATTAGCGACGGTGATAAACCTGTAGTGTTGCAACCACATCAGCAAGACATAAGACAGACAGCAGAGATTGGACGGCGTCACAGTGTACCAAGTATACCTTCCGGTTTTATACCCACTGTGCCACCAAGCAATCCAGCTTTTCTTTCGCAACTGCCAAACACTTCAGGCAAGTTCCTACCAATGTTGGACCCCGTGTACTATTCAGCCTTTTACAATGGCTTGTTTCCACCTCCGATACCACCTGCCGCTGCATCCTCCTTTCTACCACCGGAGTTCAGCGCTTACTACAAGGAACTATTAGCTTCCTCGCAACCAAGACTGGGGATGGCAGGGCAGCATCAACCTGCTGTACCAACATCCAAATAGACAATGGGATCTCGTCCAGCATATCTGGTCTAATAAAAATGGGATGGTGGCTTAATTTTTAAAGACATGATCCGTTGGACTTCCTTGTTGTAAATAAGTGTTAAAAGTATTCATGGAATACCGAGGAAGAGAGAAAGAGAGGACAATATGCGAATAATGAGCGGCGATGCATAGTTAAAAAATATTTGTGTCATTTTTACCACCCGTACGTCACCGTCGTTACTTTCACATCTATCTAGATGTTAATAATAAAAAAAAAGGAAAAAAAAGGGACTGTTCTCAAAGCGATAATTAGATCGAAGAACTTTTAAGAAAAAAGATGAACATTTTAAAAATTTTTGTATCAGCGAAGATGTTCTTCTTTTTTGTTATATAATATTTTTCTTTTTCCTTGTCAAAAGCAAAAGCATTGATTGTATAGAAGCGATGAGAGATTATTTCGTTGAACTGCGTACTAATATTCTGTGATAATAAGACAAAATAAAGAAAGAAAGAAAGAAAGAAAGAGAGAAAGTGATAGAGGGAGAGAAAGAAAGAATAAGAGAGGTAGAGTAGAGATAGAGTGGTACAACGTTCCCACGAAAGCAAAGTACTTTTTATATATATGTATATTGCCAGTGCGTGGCAATACAACGTGCGTGTGTTTACGGTCAAATTAAACAATTATTATAATAAGAGAAGGTATTTTTTTAATTTGTTGAACTCGATTTATATATATACAAATCTTTATGCAAACACGCGTTTTCGTTTTAATTAAGGAGGTTGCTACCACTCTGGAGAAAAGGAAGAAAATTAAAAAAAAAAAAATCATCTGGACGCAGGTATTGATTTTTGTAAAGAATAAGGAACTAAAAAAAGAAAGAGTTATTATACGATAAGATTTATGTTTTTTTGTTATTTCTTTCTATTCTTGTATATTTTATTTTTTCCTTTTTTTCTTTTTTAAAAAAAGAAGCATATACGTTTGTGCGGTGTG